AAATTTATCAGCAGGAGGTCCACCGGAACCACTAAAATTTTGAAAGGGCTCTACGAGAAAAAAAAGTTTGGGAACCTCTGCTCTATATGCATACATATGAAATACAAAATTTTATTGAAAAACACCTTATCTCAGAATTTGGTTGAAGAACGCCCTATCTCGCTTCAAAATGTATTAAAAATGTGCTGAAATAAGGCATTCTTCAACCAAATTCTGAAATAGGGCGTTCTTGAAAAGTTTTTTGAGATACATAGGGCGTTTTCGAACTGGCTGCCGAGATAGGTCGATCTTCCACTCAGCAGTCGATATGCAAAAGTAGTAAGCTACGCAGGCGGATATGTATAAATATACATATGTATGTATGTGCATTAAGGCGTATCACAAAAAAAAGTTTAGCGTGTGTCAGTCTTATTTGAATATTCATGTAAGTATGTCGCGAAAAAATTGTGGGTGTAAAAACCGATACATCGCGTTTTTTACCATAACTTTTTTATGTGCTACACGATTTTTAAAATTTTTAATGCCACCGAATAAAATTTAGCCCTTTTTAGCAATCGTTTTTTTCGAGAGCTTTAGGTTTATAGTATAAAAATAAAAATCTAGGGATAGTAATTCCAAAATTAGTGAAGTTATAAATGAAAACGGTTTTTAAAGCCGAAAATGATTAAAGAGCAATTATAGTCCGGAGCGAGACCTTTTCAGCGAAATAAAGATTTAAAAAATCGGATATAAAATAATAATAAAATAGCGGGTGCCTAAAAAAATTTTAGATCCAAAATCTTTTCTCGACATAACTATTCAAATAAAACTGACACACGCTAAACTTTTTTTCTTTCATATGTCGTGGTACGGCTTAATGCGCATATGTAAAGCAAATAGTACCAAGCTTGCAAGTATTAGCCTCGTAAAATGGCATACTTTCAAATAGGATAATTGCTTTTCCGAGTTCAGTGTTCGTAAATAACAGTATTTAGATTACATACTTTCATAAATAAGTCAGCGATAAAGATTATTACATCAGATTTCAGAAAAGAAGCGCAATTGCATTGGACTTCGTGCTGTAGACAGAAGTGCAAATCTGATTTAAATGTTATTAATAAAAAAAATAAATACAGGCAACCGATGTAGGCAATAAGCAATACATACAAACGTACATAATTATGACAATTATGTGGCATGCAAAAAAGGCGTACATTTTTATTTACTTTTTTTTAATCGCTGTTCGGCGAAATTCAACATCAAAAATATATATTTTTATAAAATACATATGTGCATTAAGGCGTATCACGAAGCAAAGTTTAGCGTGTGGCAATTTTATTTGAATACTTATGCGGAGAAAAAATTTTGGGTGTAAACATTTTTTTTTTGCACCCGCTAAAAACCGCTAAATCGCGTCTTTTTCTATAATTTTCTTATTTGCTATCTGATTTTTGAAATTCTTATGTCGGCGAAAAGGCCTCGCTCAGGGCTATAATAGAATAAAGCCTAAACCACTTTAACAAGGTCGTCATCATTTTTGAGAGCTTTAGATTTATAGTATAAAATAAAAATCGAGGGATAGTAATTCCAAAACTAGCGAAGGTATAAATTAAAAAGGTTTTGAAGGCCAAAACTCTTTATTGGCCAATTGTAGTCCTGAGCAAGACCTTTTCAGCGACATAAAGATTTAAAAAATCTGATGTAAAAGAAGAAAGTTATAGCAAAAAACGCGATAAAAAAAATTGTTTAACACCGAAAATTTTCTCTCGACATATGAGTTTAAATAAGACTGACACACGCTAAACTTGTTTTCTTTCATATGTCGTGATAAGGATTAATTTACGTATATATGTACATATCTACTAAAGCACTGCAAATATTCCAGCAGAAATACTCTTGTTCATTGCATTCAGTAGTATTTGAAAATTTCATAGGAAGTATAGGAATACTTATGAAGTTTTTTCTTTTAAAATGTTAGCATTTAACATAATGTTAAGTAAAGACATACATTTTCTTTTTATTCAAATATATACATATATTTGAAGAAAACTTCACAGTGAAGCAAACTGAATTCCGATGCAGACCTTTAACATACAACAATACAATGTTCACAAATAAAATTCCTTAACGATTTCTTTGTTGGTCAGGTATGAAAGCTAAATAAAAATGCAACAATTCATCGCTTGACTGATTCTAAAAATGTTTTTATGAATTTTTATTGCTTTCTTCTTGTTGTTGTAGCCGCAGTTTAGCGATATTGACATCATTTGCTCGGATTGACTGCTTCAACAAAAATAAAATTGCTTTGTATCCCGCTCCAATCGTGACTCACCAGCAGGTATGGCTACTTTTTCATCGGAACAGTTTTCGCAAATTTTAGCTGCGATATCAAGCGGTAAAAAAAGTGGTTCCTTTACGGAGTGCACATCACGTTTCCGAGGACAACAGGATGCTGCAATAGTGGAAGAATTGATTACCGCTATAACGGTTAACAAAGACATCGAGAAAATTTCCGACGCCGACGCCTTGCGCGGTATGCCACTGCTGCTCGAAGATTACGCAGCGTCGTGGTGGGCTGGCATTAAAGATTCTTTGCGAACTTTCGCCGCTGCAAGTGAGTTGATACGCACAAAATTTTCGCCTCAAACACCTGATTGGAAAATCTTTTTAAATATATTTGAGCAAAAGCAACATGCACGTGAAGCCACTGACAGTTTCATATGCAAAAAGCGATTACTGTTTTCGCAACTAGCGAAGCAGTACAGTTAAACATGATTTACGGCCTCTTGTCGATAAAAATTAGAGAGCGTGTGCGCCGTGATACATTTTTAACATTTGACGAGTTAATAGCACGTTGTTGAGAAGCGGAATTGTTTTTGGCAGAAGCAAAGCAACTTACGCCGGCAGTTACTGAGGAACCCGAAAATGCTAACGGACCTAAACGGTGTTCTTTCTGCAGACTACGAGGCCACACTGTAGATGTTTGCTTTAAAAAGAAAAAGGAGCAACAGTCCCAGCAGGCAAAACCACAACAGCAACAAGCATCTGGTACGACTAGTACCAGCACAATAGCGTCACAAGTGAAACGCGCAGCAGCATTCGCATGTTACGGTTGTGGTGCACGAGGCGTGTAGTGGACACTCTAGGAAGAGTCCACAGTATTTATCTTTTAACAGTGTATCCACAACTATCGTTGGCATATCAATTCCATCGGTCACATTACGATGTTTGTTATGTGAGGCGTTATTCGACACTGGAGCGAAAACCAGTGTAGCCAGTGCAAATTTGAAGAGAATGTTGACCAGCAAAGGGTGTGTTTTCCAAGACGTATTGGCAGACGTTACCTTGGCAGATGGCACCACAACCACTCAAAAGTTATTGTCCACTATTTGTGACGTTACTATCGGCAACAGCAATCGACAAATTAGGATGATATCTTTACCAAATGCTTCAAAGAATCGAACTCTCATAGGGGCAGACTTTATGGAACAAGCTGGCATTGTTTTGAATATGGCACAGCGTTTTTGGTACTATGAAGACGAACCAAAAATTAAATACGACTTTACAAAACCCCGCACTAGTGGTCTACCATCTGCTATCGAAATAGCGGGTGCGCATGTAGTAACAGGCAACATGCAGTCACCTGGTACCAAAGCTAAGAACGAGTACTCCAACTTCATACGCTACGTCGAAAAGTACAACACCAACTCAGTTGTCCCCAGAGATTTGCCCATAAATAAACTTCGGTCCATCAGTAAAGAACAAACGCTCGCACTCTAACGATTATTCACTACACTCCGTTCAGAAGATTTTCAGAAGCTGCTTACCGGTTCCAAATCCAAATCAAAAATCCAAATCCAGCAATACCGATTTCGAGAAATTTTATGATGAAAATTTATTTCCACTGTACTCCTTCGAAGTAAGTTTTATCACCGCAGTGGTTACGAGCTGACAATGAAGCAGAAGATGGAACTTGAAGCATTGCTACTCACGCATACTGACATCTTTAAAGAGCCGACGTCTGCACACCGTATGCTACACATCACATTGACACGGGCAGACATCCTCCAATTGCCTTGCCGCCATATCGCCTATCACCACAACGTAAAGATTTGTTGAAGTTAGAGCTCGATAAAATGCTCAATACAGGAGTTATCGTGGAATGCGAATCACCATGGGCAGCTCCCGCAGTAATCGTACGAAAGAAGTCAGGCGGCATATGGATTTGCCTCGACTATAGAGAGCTGAATGCTATCATCAAACCAGATCGGTACCCGTTGCTGCGAATTGATGACTTGTTGCATGAAGCCAAGGTCACAAACTTCATGTACACTTTGGATTTGCAATCCGGGTATTGGCAAGTCGGGATGAAGGACGAAGACCAGGACAAAACAGTTTGTTACCCCGTTTGGCATGTACAAATTCACGCGTATGCGCCTGCGACGTTTCAGAGCCTAATAGATCGACTTAAAGTCTCTTTAGAAAACATAGTTTTAATCGCATATTTGGACGATATAATTTTACGTTCGAAAAATTTTAAAGAACGCCTAGAGAAACTGAACCGGCTTTTCGAGCGCTTTCGCAACTGACGAAGAAGAACGCCAAAAAGTCTTATTTTGTAATTTGTAATTTTTTTAACAAATAAACTTGTCACATGACATACGACCTGCGAAGCAGGAGCACCCTCAGCATTTCAATACCATTTTTATTGGAATATTTATCCTTAGGTGGCTTTCCTCGTTTAGACATTTCGTTTTGGAAGCTACTTTCGTCCTCTATCTATACCAAACTTGTTTAATTTGGATAAGCGGTTTGTTTAAATATTACTAGGAAAGGGCTTTTATTTCGGCCTTAAAAAATATTTTGCCATGTTTAACAGTTAAAAAAAATAACTGTTATTTTCGGTCCCTAATTATTAGTTGTAACTACAAGTCTTCATCAGTTCATCCCAACCACAAATATATATTTTTTTACAAAATAAAATACATTTGCTAAAAAAAAATGTATAAATTTAATTGCAGTTCACCCGCAACACACCGGACAGGAGCACAACTAAGACGCTGCCAAAAGCGCACACATCCCAGTATCGAGCTGCACCTGTAGAACTGCGTCTTAATTTAGTCCACTCATCTGTGCCACTCGAATCACTGCAGCCGGTGTAGTGCACCCCTGGAAAAAATGGCGCCGCAACCAACATATTGGAAAGTTTTAACTCGACGAAAAGTTTTGTCCGCCGAAGGTGCGGACAGTGATACGAAGCTCAATCGGGTGCTTGGTCTATTCGATCTCACCGCCTTGGGCGTTGGTTCCACGTTGGGTGCAGGCGTTTATGTGCTAACCGGCCAAATAGCCCGCGATCAAGCTGGCCCTTCGGTGATGTTGTCTTTCGCCATTGCCGCGTTGGCATCCTTGTTTGCTGGTAGGATGCTTATTATTTATAGAGAATTTCATCGCAATATTTTTTATGGCAACGGTTATTATCTTTTCTCGATAGGCATATGTTATGCCGAATTTGGTGCGCGTGTGCCAAAGGCCGGCTCTGCCTACGTTTACAGCTATGTGTGCATAGGGGAGTTCGTCGCCTTCGTCATTGGCTGGAATCTGATGCTGGAGTATATTATTGGCACAGCGAGTGTCTGTCGCGGCATAAGTCTCTATTTGGATACGCTCATAAATGATACGCTCAAGAATACGTTTGCTGAGGTAGCGCCGATTAACGTCAGCTTCCTGGGCAGCTACTTCGATTTCTTCGCCTTTGGGCTGGTGATCGTATTCGGAGGTATGTTGTGTCAAGCAGGGACTTTTTCGTTACATTTTTACGCTGCTTTCATTTTTCACTTTACCTTTAGTTGCGTTGGCTTTTGGCGTGGAGACTTCAGCTTTAGCAAACAATTTCTGCACCAGCCTTAATATTTTGATTCTTGTGTTTGTAATTGTAGCAGGCGCTATAAAAGGTAGGTGTTTCTTTATCACTTATAGACCACATAGCTTTCAGAGCCATGCAAATTTCTCACCGATCTCTACTTTTCAGCCAACTTCGCGAACTGGTCCATCGATCCACATACAGTTAACGCCACCATCGCAGCGCATGATATCGGTTCCGGCGGCTTCTTTCCATTCGGCTTCGCGGGCACGCTCAAGGGTGCAGCTACCTGCTTCTTTGGCTTTGTCGGCTTCGATTGCATCGCCACCACCGGCGAAGAGGTGCGCAATCCACGCCGCAACATACCGCGTTCCATTCTGCTCTCACTGCTGATAATTTTTCTCTGCTATTTTGGTGTCTCTACGGTGCTCACACTCATGGTACCCTACTACGAACAAGATCCAAATGCTCCGCTTCCATTCGCCTTCAAGCAAGTTGGCTGGACGTTCGCCATGTGGGTGGTGGCTGTCGGAGGCCTCATCGGCTTGTTGGCCAGCTTATTTGGCGCTTTGTTCCCTTTGCCGCGGATCATGTACTCCATGGCTGAAGATGGTTTGCTTTTCCGGTTTTTGGGCAAAATTAGTCCGCGCTACCGGGTGCCGGTTAGTGGCTCCATCTTTGCCGCCGTATTCACAGGTATTTAACCAAATATTTTCCATGCAAATAACTATCACTTAATATCGCTCTTCAGCTTTGATGGCCGGTTTGTTTGATCTACAGCAGCTCGTAAGTCTCTTGTCAATCGGCACTTTGCTGGCATACAGCGTTGTGGCAATTTCAGTTACGATTCTCAGGTATAGGAAAATTAATAGCTCTAGATTATTTCCTGTTAACACTTCTTTCCCACAACTTTAAGGTACATGGATTCCACGGATGGTTCGGATTGTGAGAGTGGCAATCAGCCGCCAACCGAAAATTCCATGCTCACCTCAACGGGCACGCGTATCACTACCAAGGCTGTACTCGTGCAATTTTTCAATATCAAGCGGCTGGACACACCAAGCTCGCTGTCGACGCGAATTGTAGGCAGCTTGATTACTATTTTCTGTAAGTCTTTTGTGATTTAATAAGAAAAGTGCTAAGCAGAAATTTTGCCGTTAATAGGTCTTCTCTCTCTGGGCATTGGTCTCATACTCAAAGAAGCTTACGATGCACTGCTCCACAACCAACTATGGGTACTTATTCTGCTGCCCGTACTAGTGACACTTGCATTGCTAGTCTTGGTCGCGATTTGTCTACAACCACGTGAGGCTGTCATAAACACATTTCGTGTTCCTTTCGTTCCCTTCGTACCTGCCATAAGCGTGTTCATTAACATCTACCTAATGTTGCAACTGGACGTGATGACTTGGATACGTTTCGGAATATGGATGTTGATAGGTAAGTATTTATGTCCAATACCTACCCTAGGTTGCATGCCTACCTTACAAGTACTTAGCTACTAATCCTTCTCGGGATTCCAAAACCTTCACTTGCATGTAACTTAGCTTAAGTAGCCTACTAACCAAGGCAGCTAACTGATTTACCATTTTACTCCCTTCCTTCCTGAACCACTTCACTGAAACGCAACGCAGGCATACCGATTTTAATTATAAGCTGGTGCATGTACGACAGTTGCAACCCTGACAAGCGAAATCCAGAGCGCATCAGCTTCGAGCGCGCTTTAAGGGAGACTGCGCGCAAGGCTAAGCCACTCAACGGTCATTTGCCCAAAAACATCAAATCCAATGGCGTTTTAAAAAAATCAAAGAGCGCCAATGGTGTCGCCAATGGCACCAATTTCAGCACACAAAACGAGCATTCGGTGAGAAGTCTCGATGAAATTATGAATATGAATGAGGTCAGTGACGATTTGATAGAGATGAGGCATCCAAATGGCAAAGTTTTCTACATCGAGGATGATCGAAGTCACACATCGAAGAGCTCTGCGGAGAGAGTGGATACGGAGAAAGATGGCGCACGCGAAGATGAGAAGTCTGTCATAGCAATGCTAGACGATGTATTGCAAGCAGCAGATGCTGGTACTACAATAACGTCCAACATGCCAGATTATCGGAAATTCAGTGTTGATTCAGAGATGCTGCCGAGTGTAATTGAGATGAATACAGTGGCGACAGTGCATACCAGCAGCAATTCGTCAGACGAGTTGGAGGCAGTGCCTGAGATAGAGAGTAAAAAAAGTTCGAGCAACAGCAGTCTCAGTAGTGGTACGGAATGTTTCACAGCCAGCCAACAGGCGGCGCAAAAGTTGGTTGATGAAATTCTGAATAGCGCCGAGCTGATGGAAGCCTTGGAGCGGCACAAGTCTCTCAACGAAGCAGTGAACCTTCAATTTTCAGCAACAACGGAAGCGGCAAATGAGAGGGAAGAAACACAAACAATGCTACAGCCATCAATCGAAGTGGTGATAGAAGAAGTAGCACAAAAAAAGCTACAGCCGCCAGCTGAGAATGATGCGCAGCCAACTCAAAACGTTGCAGCGACTACCCTCACAAATGGAGCTACAGTACTTAATCGCACAAGCTCCGGAGCTTCTATGCTCAGCATCGAGGATCCCATTCATTCGGATCAGTTCAAGAATAGACTTAGTAAAATATTAATGGTCCCACCAGCTCAAGCACTGACACAAAAAATAGCCAAAGAACCCACGCTCAAAGAGGAGACGCCTAACCGTCCATCGCTCAAGCATTCAAAAAGCGAAACAGACGTTCGCCATCTGGTTTTGAAAGCCATTGAGAACACTGCTCTGGCTGGATTAAACGGCGAAACTTCCGAGCATGAATCGAATGCTAACGACATACCAAAGCCACCAAAATTCGATCCAATACTGTACAAAACTATCAATAACCTGCGCCCCAATAAAGAACGCCCTAGTCTCCAACGACTACTGGAAGACGACGAAAAACCAATCGCGCTTAAAGTAGGTGGACCCACAAAAGCTGATGAACAAGCAACAGAAGAGCCAGCGCTGCCATTCAAGCAGAAATTGGAAGCCGTACTCAAACGCGGTCCCTCGCATCGTACGCAGAAACGGCCAGAACCGGTGCCTATACGACGACCAAAGTCAGTGGAACCAATATCAGTGCGAGAAGAGGAAGAGAGCGGAGTGCTTCAACTCAAGCAGAATGGCCAAGTGAGCAGACGCATCGCGAGATCGGAGAGCAATATCGCGACCACAAAAGCTGCCGAGGGCAAGGAGATGATTAGCAACGCACGAAATCAGCTAAAACATGTGCGTAACGGCGCTGTGGAGCTGTATGGGTAGCAGACGGGGGGTAGCATTGAACTTGTTGATATTTACAAGCGTACATATATGGGTTCCTATTTACCAGAACATAATCGCATATATGTGTGTACACTTATTTATATGAACTGCATTTTAGTATTGTAGCTGTTAAAGATATTTATTGATGTAATTTACTATACAAATACTTAGCTAGTTACAAATACTTAGCACTCAAGTAAACGGCTCAAAGCTCAAAGCACAAAAGCTTTATTGTAGATATATACTAATTGGTAGTTTACGTACTTAGTATTTTACGTACATATGTAAGTAGGTCTAACCAATATTACATTATGTATTTATGTACATATACATATGCATATAGGTTTGCATGAATATAAAAACTAATTTACAGCATGATTTTAAAACTTCAAGCGATTTCAAAGGCCGAAAGCTTCGACATGAAGTCCTTGGAAGAGCTCAAAGCATTCACAGGAAATCTAACACACGCTTAATATTTAAAATATGCCAAAAGAGAAGAAAAATGCATGCCGGATTTTTTAATGACTATGTATTGTGTATGTACGACGGATATGACTTATGAGAATTTAGTAGATTTTTATTCCTTAATACTAGTCGTTAGAACTTATAGCCGTGCGTCTAAAGGAGCTCTTTATCAAATACATAAACAATTCATAAATTTGACTCGATACGTATTTTGTCTTTTAATTTTTCTTACAAAATTTTTTCCAAAAATTTCACACATCTTTACAAAACATTACCATCTTTACCATATTTTCTATCTGTATATGTACTTTGTATGTATGTTTGTACACCTTCTTTTAACCCCTTTCACAGGCTTGTCAATGTACTTTTTCTATGGACTACCGAATAGTTTAAGACAGTTAAAGAGGCAGCGTAACGGTTGGCAAAAACTGAAATACAGTAACTCATTTTAATGATGTATATAACAATTAGTTTAAGAGCATACTTGTTTACATATGTATGTATATGTTTTTGTATATGAGCAAATCTCACGAGTAGTTTTGTTTTTAGTGTCAATATCTTCTCCCGCCAAAACATAAAATCGCTAAAGCATTATTCTTGCATTTACTACCCTGCCCGCCTTTAGTTCATACACTTCACACTTTACATCTACATACAATCTTGAAGCAGAAATGTTTCAAAGCGTATGAAGTAAAGCTGAGCAGGGTAGTATTTCAATCAATGCAGTTCCAGTTCAATAAAAAATAAATCAAGTATTTGAACAGTTATAGCCTTAAAACGTTTGTCACTCAATAATCACAATTGTTTTTTTTTTAATAACTTTTGAAAGTTTTTAGAGAGAATGTTCAGAGTAGAGGCAAAGAAAGTTGGCACCATGATACAAAAAGAAGAAAGTTTCATTTCAAAATTATTGACAAAAAATAAGTTTTTGAAGTTTCATAAATTGTATAAAATTATGAGTAACCTTGCTACATTGATAGCAATCAAACAATACATCAGAGGATTTAATGTTGTGCGTGGGAAATGTTCGGTTATTTGTACGATGATTTTTTGGGGAGGAGTGGAGGGGCACAGTATGAACTCATTGGTCCAAATTCGGTTACGCCATCCACAGAATTCTTGCCCAAAATCCACCTAAAAATTTACAAAAAATGTGCATATATTAAACCGAACTGTTTGTTTTAAATTAAAGCTAAATCCTTTGACTTGTTTCACGTATTTCGACACGATAACCCAAAATCATTGTACAAGTAACCGAACCGTACCCGAAATGTCTTACCTATGCATTAATAAACAAAAATTGTATAAAATGAAAATGCAGTGATTTTCATCTTACGTATATAATTCTTGTCACAAATACATAGCTTCGTGCTTGTATGTATGTATATATGTATATTTTTTAGCAGCGCCACATCTTTATCAGAAAATTCCGAGAATCCAAAAATTGGAACTGTTACAAGTTGTAGAGAAGCTCGGCCAAACACTAACATATGTGTAAGCGCCAATCTATTATTATTATTATTACAAGTTGTAGGGCAACATTTTAACTCGACCTCTTCCCTCTTCCACGGATAACGGTACATTGTTTAGAGGTTTAAAAATATTTTGCTTCAGAAATTTTTAATCAAACTGTGCAAACGGTTGTTTGTAACAGCCAAAACGAGTCGAGATAGATATAGGCAAATGTATACATGAATAATCAGAATGAAAAAAAGTCGATTAAAATGGGCGTGGCACCGCCCACTTATGACCAGGTATGTATATCTCGGTAACTGTTAGATCAATTTGTGCCAAACTTGTTACGATTATTTCGCTTACAACACAAAAGAAAAACGTTAAAAACTATTGAAATAAGACTAAAATTACTTCCACTTTTCATGTAACGGTACATTTCAGAAACTCTTGAAACTTCCATATTTCGAAATTTAAGGACGCTAATTTACTGAAAATAAGTTTATCTCATTAAGAATAACTGAACATGCTATCGAAATTGTTAGAAATAGGGGTAAAACCACTCTTCTTACCATGTAACGGTCGTTTTCAGAAAGGTGAAAAACTATATTTAATACTTGCGCCGGGTATTTAATGCTCGGCTCCACCCGAGCTTAGACTAAAAACAAGTCGTTTAGTATATATTTTTTAAATTTTCATTTCAATACACTTCCGCCCAAAAAGTCGTGTTTGTCGAAAAATGTAACAGCTCGTGAGATTTTCTACATAAATACATATATATGTATACATACATAATTAGAAAAGGTGCTGAAAGAAAAAGTGAAAACAAAACTGCAAACTTTTAGACAACGATAAATTAGTGATTAAGAAAGCTATGAAAGCAAATTTCTAGATAATAATAAAGAAACTTTGTAAATGATTTTTCTTTTGAGTTTTAATGGATTTTATAACACCGAGCCACAGTAAAATTCACACACCAAAAAAAAAATCAATATACTCGCGAAACTAGGGGCCAAATATTTGGGTGGTTTACAAGATGTCTAAAGTGTCTTAATGTTTTCAAATCGTAAAATTTTTCAACATAAAGTAAAAATTAAAATGCTTCTTTAAAAAATATATATAATTTGCTCTTATCACACACTACGATTCTCCTAAATTCATTTTAACCGTTATCTTATATTGAAAAGTTGTATGCCCTTAAAACATTCAATGCATTGTGAATTCTCCAATAGAAAAACTGCGCTTTGAGTTTTTCCTAAAACGGACTTTGAAATTTAAAGGATATTAATTCAAAATATTATTTCGATTATCTCATAAATTTTTATAGCTCGATAACTATCCGATAATTTTGACAACTAATTTTCTGGGTCTATAAATTTCAACAACTCCATAAGCATTAAGCAAATTGATTAATTCGATACGTTGCGATAAATAAATTAACATGGATAACTCGATAAACTTCGATAATTTAAAACTTCAATGATTTGATAAATTTCGGTAACTCGATAACTTTCGATAAGTAAGTTTTTACTTTTTCGATAAGTAGTTTTGCCTTCACTTTTTTGTTTTAATCGTTGTTTATTTCTTCACTATTACATATATTTATCTTCATTACAAAGTTTAATTTCAATTATGAAGTAAACCAAAATGCAAAAAAATCTCAAATTGTACAGGTTTCAAGAACAACTATACCCAAATACGGAAACGACAATTTGGGCCTTCATTTTCAACCATTTTTGAAACCATGAAAGCTCTCCTCATCTATAGAAAAATATCTTTCCAATGGTATTCTCGTGGTTTTGAATTCGGTTCGGTACAATCGCCAGATGAAGGCGGGCAAAATGTATGTTAGGGTATTAATATATGAGGCCATGAAGGCCAAAGTAGTCTAACTGACATTTCAAAAAAAGTTGAGGTTCACCTTAAAATACATTACTAGAATCGAAACGGTAATAGCCCGAGGCACGCCCTTTTAATATCCTTTTACTAAAATATGTTTGTAACATCACATAGTAGGTGCAAAGATATTTTTAGTAAAAGACTGCATTTATTTTTCATTGGTCCTTCTTTCTCATATTACTAAAAAAAAAAAAATTGTTGATAGGCTCCTCTGGCCATTCATGTAGATAGAAAAAATTTTTGAAAATGAAAATGTCTTGAAAATTTTGTCCTTTGATACCCTTGAATTGATATTATTATATATAGTTTTAAAAAAATTATACGTTGAGGACCAACATCTTCGAATTTCCTTCCTTCTAACTTAATTCGTCCTTGTGAAATTAAAAAAAAATATTTTTTTAGTTCCACAAAATATTTTTTTTTAATTGGCGTCCATACTGCTTTTCTGCATTGCACTGAACTTTAAAAATAATTCTTTGAATTAATAAATTCGCTGAACTTCGAAGTCCTTAAAAAAATCCTGACGTCTGGGAGAAAAACTAAAAACGCAGCTTTGCTATATTTGGCGCCTAGTTTCGTTGATTTCTTCGTGTATTTTGAAATTTTTCGGTTCTTGTCGCACGGTGTAATCATTAAAAATCAAGTAAACATTTTTTATTAAAACATTTTGTTTGTTGATTTGTATTAAAACCAAAAATTTTACGATAATTAAATATGAATTAATGTTTGAATAAGAATTGTGTTTTTTTCTCAAAATCAATTCTGAAGCTGAAAAGTTTTGGATCTCAAGACTTAACTAACTCCTGCAGTTTGTGACTCAGGGCAAAAATTAAAAAAAAAAACAAAAAATGTAAAGGTCGCTAAGTCATGCAAACTGCGCCACCGGTGCGGATGGGCGGAGCTTGGCAAGCGTTGATATTAAAAATAATATCACAACACACTTTATCTGCGCTGCGGCCTTGTCGATTAACATCTGATCAGCCTTAAATACGCTGTAATGAGCTGGAAGACACAACATCGGTATCATCTTCTATGAAAGTACTAAATGCATTTTGTCACTTTTTATTCAAATAGAATAAAATTAGCCAATAGCGAGTATAATTTATTACTAAATCTATTTATTTCATCTTCTCAACCAAAGTTTAGATACAGTTCATCAAGTTATTTCTAAGCAAATAAGCACAAATTTCCATATTTGTTTATCAACTAAATATTATTTTATAACTAGTTGCATACTATAATAAAAAAAAAAACATGTAAACCTATTTAAGTTTAGGTTTCTAGTACTCAATAATTTATACAAACTATAGGCTCTTTAATATATACATATGTATGTAAGTAATTATTTGAACAAGTCGGCTTCTGAAGGCTTTCTGTCCACTTCCTCAGCTTTCTTTCTACTGCAGCGTGCTCTGTGGTGGTGTGAGTGGCGTCCATGTGCCGCTCGACGTAGTCGGACTGGCGGTTACAGCTGAAGTGGCGACCACCGATGCACGTTCGTGACTGGGCGGCACAACACTGTCCAGTGTCTCTAACTTTACGGCAACCGAAGGCGAGTGGACTTTCAAATTGCTGCATTCCAAAGTGAGAACTGAGCTGCCATCGCCGCCGCTACCGCCTTCACTGCTGGTCTGCTGGGGGGGCGACTTATAGATAGCAGCCTGTGGATCTTCGAGTGATTTAGGAACATCGATGGGTTCAAGCGGATGTGAGGTATAACTGTTGATGCATAAGAGAAAGTGATGGAAGGCAGGGTGTGTGGGTGTTTGATGGATAGGTGGGGGATATCAATAAAAACTACATTCAATTAAATTAGTTCGAAGTCGGGACAATAGCATGTTTTCGAGTGTTTCGAATTTCGCATAGGCAACAGCAACTCTTCCGAAATCGGTATTCGTTCCCTTTCAAACAGCAAAACTCGAAACAGGTCGAAATTAAAGGAAGTGATTTCCGTTTGCTGTGAACTTACCCCAAATCCGATACCAGCGGTATGTACTCCGGCTGATATCCATATGCTGCGTTCTGATACAATCCATACTCAGCGCCGCCGCCATTGTGCCACGAGGTACCCGCGTAGCTCAGCGCCGTGGGCGCGTTCAATACGTTCGTGTACAACTGGTGCGAGGGCGAGGTGGGCGTTGGGTGGTAAACTTGGTGGTGCGTTGGTGGTGCACCATAGGACTGTGAGGGCGTGCTGGTCTGATACATATCAGCTGCATGTGCAGCTGCTGCCGCCGCTGACTGTGCGACATTGTATTGATGCGACGGGTGTGATGTGAGGTGGTGAATGGTATAGCCTGGCGATGGACTGGTGTAATTCGGCGATCCACCATTTGTCGGAGATGGAGAGTTGTGTGCAGCTGCAAAATATAGAAAAGAATATTAATCACACATTTCATACACGCTACTATGCATCACTCACAAATCGGACGACCAGCGCCGCTGCCGCCGTTGCTGCTTTGGCTTACATTTACCGGCACTGCTGTCGGCGGAACGGCACTCACTGCTGCCGGCGAACTCCAATAACCGCCGTTGCCTTGCCAGCCACCCGCGTATGAGAACATCGAGGAACTCGGCTCCACCGGCATGAAGCTGGACTGTGTATAGGAACTGGAAAACCCTGAAAAGGAGCCAACTGGATTTGCGGAGCTGGTCATGCCTACATTGCTGCCGCTGGTGCCCAAGTTGGTGGTATGTGCGGATTGTAGGCTTGTCGGAGTGTGTGGCGCTGAAGGTGGCTGCTGCGGTGGCGAAGCGCTGCCAGTGCTGCCGTTCATCACGCCAGAATTACCAGGTCCGGGAGAGCTCGACCCAGGAGTGGTTGAAGTCAAACGCGGTCGTGCATAAGGTGAAGCGCGTGCCGTATGTGCAGACATGCTGCGACTGCTGAGCGTACGTCCATAGCGGTCACAACCCATGCCTAGGGGAGAATTCGATACCGCCAAGCTTGGTGGCGGTGGTGGAGGCGCTTGTGCAACGCTGGTGTAATGCGTTGGCGGCGGTATTAGCCATCCGTAGGGTGCCTCATGAGAATACAGCGTATCGGGACGCTCCTTTGTGCAATAGGGTGTGTTTTCATTAGAAATGGGGTTATCTTAACAAAAATAGCAACAGAAAATTACCTTTGCATCCAGAAAGGCTTTTGCAAATGGATTGTATTTGATCTTCAACGATGTGACCTCCTCGTTTTGATAGGCCGTTACAGCAATGAATTGTGTCTCTGGAAATGTATAGGTAACCACATGGCGCTGCTCTGAACCCACACGCACCAAATGCACGCGCGGCTCGTACTTGTGCAGCGAGTTCAGCATAATCTGGCCATTGCCGTTCGTCTTGTTGGTCAGTTTCACCTTCGCAAAAGAAATCGGCTCCTTCATCCAGTGTGCGCCGAAGTTCGGTGATTCCGGGTGCACGTAAATAGGGTTCGCAGGAGGTACCTCCGCCTTGCCACCGGGCACCTGAAGAAAATCCGCATGGCACTGCGTTAATTATGATTTGACGCGCATACATTTTAGAAAGCCAAACTCACCCACTCGCCGTTAACGTACTTCCAACGATGTGAATCCACCTGCACGAACTCCAGCAGTACTGTATACATGGCGGCTGGGTCCAGACCGGAAGTGCTAATCTTAACCACTGGAAACATGCGTCTGTTAAGATGAAAATAAAAAATGATGCATTAGTGAGAATCGCGGAAAACACTGTCAAGCCAGTCATGCTGTGTGTGTCTCTTACGCTTCTTACACATACACGCCGATTTTACAGCTGATTTGTGCTGAAGTCGAAAAGCGCTTGTTTACAAGTACAATGAAACCAGATTTATTTTTAGACTATCTGCTTGTAAAAGCGTGAACAAAAACATCACACCCCATGCAAAGCGCGCTGGCTATTAATTATGACTATCGTAAAACTATTTTTGTTTTGTCCCAACACATAAAAAATGTTCTAATTAGAAAAAAAACCAAACGAACAATAGAAACATCATTGCCAATTTATGAGGACCCATAAGTCTGTGTAACGGGTGCACACTGTTGACATTGAAAAACAGTTTAAATGTGCTGCAAAGCCAGTGGTAAACAACTCATCCCATTTAGCACATATATTTGCACACGCGAAGTGCTGACGCACACAAATGATGCCCTGTCCTTTCCACGCCCTCCACCCATTTCTTCTTCGTACTCACCTGCCATTCTTCGTGACGATCATTTCGTTGGTAAGATTCTGAAAGCGTAGCCATAATTCACGATCATCCAGGCTGACGTGCAGATTTCGCTCCATGCCGGGGCTCCGATTTGCCGCCAACGGCGCCCCAAGATGATTTATGCTGCTGCCCATGCCATGAATAAGACCGCCGCCGCCGCCGCCGCTAATACCGCTGCCACCGGTAGCGAGGCTGTGATGTGTGTGCTGTGCGTGTGGTGAATGTGCGCTCGACGAATGGCTGCCATTGTTGTTGTTGGTGTGGGCGCTGTGATGTGATAGGCCAACACTACTGGTATTGTCACCATTTACATTCGTCAAATTGTTGTTGTTGTTGTTGTTATTCGATGTTGTGCCACTCATGCCAGCCGGATCGACGGCGGACAAGATGTGCGAGGTGGTCATGGCGTCTGTGGGAATGAAAAAAAAAGTTGTTTGTAACAGTTACAAAGCCATTTTTGTTAGACATAAGCAAGAAAATTTGTATAGACCGCACTGCTGAAATACCAACAGCCCATAGCGCTAAGTGCATCGAAAAGTTTCTCAATGAAACCAATACTTAAGGAAACCAACAGACCTTTTCTAAATACAATTCAGAGTCATAATTAGTAAGAAAATACAGGAAAATGTTGTAAACACTTTGCTAAAAAAACTTGCCTAAATGGCGCTGGTTTTTCGTATCATCGAAAAATTCTTTGTTAATGCCGAGACATTCTTACTGGCCAAGCAATCATCCACGTTGGTCGCACCTACAGTTTGGCTTTGCCATAGGCTTGCAAGGAAAAACTGTCATAAAAAACCTTTTTCAATGAATTGTGTTAGTTTGGCTGTCCAGGTTGGGTCCCAGAAAATTGTATTTGAGCTTAAAAACTTTGTATGCCCAGACACTTAGCCTTTCGCCAAGAAAGGCATCCTGTATTGTAGTGTTGGATGAGTACAAATTCACCCACTACAATCTAGCAGAAAAAACTTTGCTAGCCAAATTCGGAGCGCTCCGAATATGAAGTGAAAAGGGAGTCAAAGTGTTTTTTTTATTATCTTGTTTTTCTTTTATTTGTATCATTATGTAATCATGGAAACGCATAAATACCTCATAACCGCGTAACCCTGTAAATTTTCTTGAAGAAATAAATATACGAGCATTTTTTTCTTGAGAGCTGCAAACTTCTTTAAAAAAATTTAATAGAAGAAAATTTCTTGTGCGCCATTTTATATGATTTTTTCGTTTTTCTTGAGATGAACATTCAATCAATAAAGGGGGTCGTCGCTTCCGAATGTTCCTGGAAACGGACACCGCAAAAAAATCTGTTGACGTTAATGGCAGTTGCGAATGCATTTGGAGGTAAGCAATAACGCATAAAACATTACTTTTGGCTAACTTTAGAAATTTCTGGCTCTGGCAAAGAATTCATTCAGCGAGCGCAAAGTGGTTCAACACTTCAAAGGAACGCCTTAAAAAAAAAAAAAATATATTTGTTATTTATTTCATGATTTTTCCTTTTTTACTGAATAAAATGTTAAATAATTTTTTTTTATTTAAAGTTTTACAATAAAACCGTAAATCCTCCTTTTCGGTATATTAACGGAGCACTTCCTCCCAAAACACTCCATTTAATTTAGCTTTGTATGATTTAAGGAGCCCTTTTCGCAAAATTATAGGCGAATATGAGAGTCCGCACCGAATGTTTGCGAACTTTTTAAGTGTCCGAAATCACTCATTGAAGCAGTCCTAAAGGAACAATTTTAAATATATGTATATAGGGAAGGCACATTTCTCCGGCGGATATACTCCTTGAGACTCTTTTAGGAGCCTCGCTAGGAGCATCAGCGCATCGCACTCGAAGTCCTAATTGTGCATCCTTCGGACTCCGTTGGTTGGCTGAGAGGTGTTGGAAAATAAACCGTTTATTAATATATTTCATTTAGTTTTTGTACTTAGAATTTATACAGTGGTCGGAGTCATTATTTGCACGAGAAATAAGAAGGGCTGTTACGATTATAATAAAACTCGGGTCCTACTATTGTTGTAGTGGTATGTAAATCCGCATATGCCATAAAATTTATGATTTAACAGTTGACAGCTGTCAAATTGACTGTTAATTTTTCTAAAAATAAGAAAATCTTTCGAAAAATGCTACTGAATAGGTTTTTGGACAATTTTATATCAAATTAATACTTTGACGATTGACAACTGTCAAATTGACTGTTAATTTTTCTAAAAATAAGACAAAAAATTTAAGATACTACTGAAAAGGGTTTTGGACATGCCAGTCACGAATTTTAACTCAAATTAAAAAAATAAGAGTAGTCAGCCGTCGAAGGGCCGTCAATTTCTCTTGAAATTTCCCAAAAATTAAACATACTAGTTTTTAAGACTCACATTGAAACTTTTTCGGTTGACAACTGTCATTTTCAGATGAGTAATAAAATATATTTGTTGGGCAAAACTAATGATTTATTGTATTCGAAGGAACATATTTAAAATGAAAAAATGAAAATTGATTAATGATCAAATTATGAAATGATGACAGTAACTATATTTATAAATAGGGCATAGTTGGGGCCATCTGCTATATTTTCAGCCAAACCATATCACTTAGGCTCCAATAGCTTTTTTAATATTTCTTCTGTATTTTATACGAAATTCGTCATTTCCAATACTTAAGTTTTTTCATTTTAAAATAAAGTTATTAAGATTTGGATTTTTGGAAATTTTTTGGAAATTGTGAACGCCATATTGGCTTAAGCATTTTTAATTTTCTAAAACTAGTTTGAAATTTGTAATAAGCCCACTTAATACACTTAATGTTATTTGGATCATCTGCTAAAGTTGTGAAATAAAAATTACCGTCACTCTTATTGGCGCCAGTGTGCTCGGCTATTCTTTTCGTAGATTCTTAGAGAATCCCTTGCATTACTATTTGGAAAAAGAATAAAGCTCCTACTCGGTCCTATTCATTACTCGCACCATTTTAAAATAAATATTTCTTGAAAAATAAGCCCGAAAATTTAGCAACAAATTTTTATTATGTAATATTTCATATGAAACATCATTTTGCATGTTTAAGAAGTAACACCAAACCAGCAATTACTATTATAATTGAAAGTTTCGATAAAAAAAAAAAAATTGTTTGCCTAAAATATTGCCTCTCCGACCACTGTGTGTCGGCTAATTTGTGGGGCCATCAAATTCCTTTTGTCAGCAGCTAATATCAAAATTTTATTATTTTACAACACCTACAAACGTAAAAATCAAATGGAATATCAAAACCAAAATCAAGAATGGATTAGTGGTTTGGAGAAGCGCAGGCTAAAGAGAGCAACTTAGGAAAAAACAATTGGGTAAGCAAAATAGTTAACGGCAACAAATTAAGACGCCAGGTATATTCAGCCGAGGAATACTGCGACAGAACGAGATGGTATTAAAAGGTTTGTAATCATACATATTGATAGAATTCGAAATTGATTATTGAGGCCATCTTAATTTTCGGCTTTAACAAATATTACAAAGCAGATGACTTCATTACATCACGATTCATTTATTCACTCAGCGTGGTAGTAAACTTGCTTACCGGCCTATTCATACACACACACACACACACACACATATGTATTCTTAACTAAATATTTCTGAGAACGTTTGTCGGCTTTTGAGTTTTATTACAAGCACTTCAAACCCTTCAAGCCACTGAAATCAAGCTGGGAACCTTAGAAAAAGTTGAACTTCGAACGCATTGCCGACGGCTGGACGGCTGGACGGCGAGTTGCATGAGACAACAACAACCACATGCCATTGTTTTGATGCTGCGCGTTGAATAGCCACTCAGCTGGCACGTAATAAAAATGAAGCACTCATATTCGGCAAAAAAGAAATACTTCTTCTTTCCACGCATTCAATCAAACACTTACAATCATTTGTGCCGGTCATTTATGATGGCAGTGAAGCACTTGTACCTGCGCGATCAGTTGGCTGCGCTTGTGTTATTGTTATTTTCGTTGTTTTTGTTGTGGTGGGAGTCATGGCTGTATCTTGCGTTTTTTTTTTTTTGGTCTCACCATGCTATCTCATTTCATTTCATTTTGGTTTTGATACTGCGCCCTCGGCTTGGAGCTGCCCAGCGCATGTCGCTCTACTCCGCATACCAAATGATGTCTAAATCTTTTTCTACTGCATGCATTCTTCTTAAAAGGCATTCTATTCACCGGCTTCTGCAATCGAGCGATGACGAACTGCCTGCAATGCGATGGCTGTCATAAATTAACAAAATGTATTAATAGTTTTGTTTATTTTTATGAACGTATAAATTGGTGCTTTGCCGACATTTTATTGTTGCTTCTGTTATTGTTGTTTTTGGTTGTGGGTGAGTGTTGTTGTTGTTTTATCCGGTATTTTATTTTATGGCACAACACATTCATACCTTTATTCTGATAGATATGCGGAGTTTGTGTAGCCACTATGCTTGCCATATATTTTTCGCTTTAATTTTATGACATTTTTTTTCTGGTTTCTTAATTTTATTTTCAAACTGAATTGATTTTGATTAAATTGTTGCGTGGTCGCACGACTTCGTACTCAGCTAGGCCAGCCAGTTTGGTAGAAGAAACACTTCATTTGTCTTTTCAAAATGGACCACTTATGGCTAGACAATTTTAGGTTTTTTTTTTTGTTTGGTTTTTTTATTTTTTATTATTCAATTATCCTCATTTCTTGGCATTTGTACTAGGCGTTGTTGCAAATCGTGCATTTCAATTTTGTTGTAACTAGTTTGAACTCGAGCAGTGGAGTTCGAGGCAGAAGCACCAGGTTTTAGCCGCATTAAGCGCACGACAAAATAAGGTTGACCAAAGGAAAGACTTAAGCGACAAACCTGTCACGCCTTAGCTGTGCATGCGGAACGGCCGTTAAAAATTATTCGAATGTCTGATACTTAAAGTTTGCGTACTTTATTAGTTATTTATGTTTTTCTCTATCATTTAAAGCGTGTGATTCAAGTAAAGCCGGAAATCAAGACATAAATAACTATGTTGCAAGCCTTATATGCTTTTATTTTTTTGTGGTAATGAACACCTTTTAACATGTCAATACATAATTTGATTGGAATTCAAAAAAAGTCGCTCAAAGGTAAAAGCTTTCATATGGCTATTTCTAATAAGCTACGAAAATTAGTCTTGTGATTCATCTAACTTCATTATTTGCCTTCATTGAACGAGCAAAGCTTTTACGTTAACAGCAAGTACAGAGCAACGGACTTCACAGAGTTCTGGACCAATATTCATTTTTCTCCATTTTTCTAAAACTGCAGGGATAACATGAAGCATTAAAATAACAAACAAATTGTCTATTTACTGCGACAACAAAACACTGCACACGCACACGCTCACATGCACATCCATCCACACATTCAGTCAT